AATCCCTTCTCTCCTTTTTCATATAATCACGTGGTTCTCATCTTCATTACTCGCATTTCTGCACAATGAACGTTCATTAAGATATTTTAAATTAAGACCTTTTCTGCCTTTCTAACCCAGTGCATTGGGTCTTTGCATGCAACGGCTTTTCAAATCCTTATCGCAGTATTTCAGGCCTTCTGTACATTATATTCCATTAAAACGATTCCACCCAAGGTTGTCGCAATTCTGAGATTACAGCTTCCACGAGATGTTTTGTTAGAAATATATTCATATATTCACTTTGCTAGCTGTCAAACACATCTCATGAGCCCATATTTAACATCTCATTTGATCGCATAATTCAACAAAAATGATAAAAGGAAGCCGTATTTATTTATATCGTGGAATGGGGCTTACAGGGATATGAGGTGGGCGCACCCCGTCACGCCAAGGCGAATCTTTCTACCCTTCTGACCAAGGTCAAATGGGGCAAGGGACGTAATTGAGGAAAGGAGAAAGAGGTATTGAAATGTAAGAACTTCTTCTCATTATGTAACTCTGGTTATACAATTACTTTTTCTCATGCAGTCTTTCTTGTCTCTTCTAAAAATAATGCAAAATTTATTCCCGCAAAACAAAAGTGGTAACCACTGTCTGTGTTGGACTTTCAAATTGAAAACATCACCACCAGATCACATAGTTTAAGGGAATATGTGCCCTATGCAAAACCCACAGATATTATTATTATATTACTATTATGAGCCCAGACAGTGACTTCTGAGGGCAGAGAGACAAAAAAAGATCCCATTCTGACTGCTCTAACACAATATTGGGGACCCGTGAGACCACAGTGACAGGAGCAGCCCACTCCAGTTCCTATCCCCATCGGCACCCTCTGCCCACCTAAACCCAAGCCCTTCGTGAGGGGCTGATCACACTCCTGGTCCCAGGGATGGCTGTGGTAATTGGTTCAGGGTGGGGGACATGACCCAAGTCACACCAAACAGCCAGTGCTGACCAGCCTTGGGACTTGGGCTGGGCGTCTCTGGGGAGAGTGGCTTTTCCCCTAAGTGGCCAAGTCAGCAGATGGACACTGGAAGCTGCCACAGAGCCACCGTGCCTCTAGGATGGCAGAGCCTGGCAGAGAAAAAGCCAACCCAGAGAGAGACAGGGAGGCAGGCTGCTAAGGCTGCTGCCTGAGCACTTGGTCCAGCTTTTCTGGTGCCAGTCCACCCCTGAGCGTCTCCACTTGCATGGGGAACATGACTATACAGCACCTAATGGCATCCACTGGGCAAAGCCACCTGAGAAGCCAAGCAACCAAGAGGTCATCTTCCACTGGGGACATAAACACACAGGGCTCCTGTGCAAAGCAGAGAATTAAACAGATGCTACCTTCAGAGAGAAAGGCTGACTCTTGGCTGCCTACCCAGCAGTCATCCTCTCCCACCTCTTCCTTGGCAACAGAGCCTGCTCCCGACTATGATGTGTAATGATGTCAAATACCTTCCCTAAGTCCTCCAAATCTAGGACCCACTGTGGACCAGTGGGATCTGAAGGAAGGACTGGTAACAGGGCTTATGGAAAGTTTTTATTCTCTGATAAAGAGACACAAATGAGGAGAAACATCCATCTCTCTGCCTTTAGGTATAAATGGGTGAGTTTTTGATGTGTGGAACAATGGCAGCCACCTTGTGACCATGAGGAAACAATCAGGAGGAAGGCAGCCAGTGCACTGGGTATGATGGAGTAGAAAGACAGAGACTTTAGGATAACACCAGTGTGCTGCTGAATTAAAAATCATGGAATCCACCACCTTTGAACTTCTTGTTATATGATACAATAGACTATAATTTCAGCTGCTTTTTAGTAGTATTCTAACTGCAGCTGAAATCATTCTATACAATGCATAAATCTCTCACCCTGCCCATGTATTCGCAAAATGAGATTTGGGGAATGTTTAGCAATTGTGTGCAGATCTCCAAGGGCCTTATGGGATAACAAAGTCACTCACATAACGAGATCCTTGCTCAGTGGGTGCAACACAGTGTGATCAGAATGTTGAGATTGGAATCAAGGTTCCCAAATAGCTTGGTCAACTGCTGTATGCTTAGAAGGCTTTGACCACTCAACCCCAGTCACTTCTAACTCATGGAGAGAGCTCTTCAAAAGTAGGCAGATAATAATCCCAGACAAGATTTGCTGGAGTCAGAAGAAGTGTATTCCTTGCGGTACAATTTCCACTGGAAAAGGAAGTCCCAGCCCATCACACCTGCTCTCACTCAGTCACTCACTGACTCATTCCTTCATCAAACAAACACTTTGTGCTTGACAATGTCAAACGCAACTATTTAAAGGAGTAAAGAAGAAGAAGAAAAAAAATAAGAGAATGGGTGATGACAATACAAGATGGCTGGGTTTGGGTCTCACCCGGGATGCTGTGGGGGCCAACAACAGTCACAAAGTGTCAACCTAAATCACAGGCAGGGAGAGGCTGTCTAAAAATACTGAATTTAATCAGGAAGAGCAGGGCGTTGCCGTGCAGAAGCACGTGCCATGGCAACCACGGGTGCGCTGGGAAAGGCAAAGGATGGCAAGGCTTTTTGAAAGTAAAATGAGGAGGATTACATAAGTCGTTTAAAAATAATAGTCCTCGGCTGCAAGAATTAATGACGAGGATGGCGTCAGCCCAAGCCTGGGCAGACAGTTGCTGGGCAGATGTCCTGGGGGGTGGGGGGGGAGTATATTTCGTGCAAGGTTGCGGCGGTCTTTGTGCAACACTTGTGTTCTGGCACGGTCTCTTGTCATGGTTCTTGTCATTAAGAAAATATGCCTGAGGGCCCTGGCTTCAAGGTTTTTTTTTTCCTGGCTCCGTTTTGTCAGGGTTTGACACAATGACATGAAGGCTTTTCAGAGCTGAAACAGAGAACGTCCCCAGCAAGCCAGGTGAGCCAGTCGCGCCACGTGACTCCAGGTGACTCTAGGCTCAACCACAGACCACTAAAGACTCACCAGGCTGGGGCAGGGGGGGCGCAGGGGTGCTGCGAGCCCGCAGTTATCAAACTCCCAAGCATATCAGACTCATCTGGCAAACAGGGGAGTTATATAGATTTCTGGACTCAACCTGCAAAGACTCCGATTCAGACTTCCTGGGGCCGGGCCCCAGAATCTGTATGTATAAGCAGCTCCTCCTCGGGCCTTTCAGGAGGCTCACAAGGCAACTCTGCTCAGAACTGAATTCTCCACGGGGAGGCATCGTCCGTATAATCACATTTGCCGAACGAGAGTAATGCAGAGTAGCTTCCGGCATTGGGCAGGCATCCTGAGCTATCCTCCCCAGCCCCGCGCACTGGAGCACTCTCAGTATGTGATTAATGGCCGCTGTAAAGCCACTTTTAATTTGGATTTCCCCTGCAAACCGCATTCTCCGTGATAAATTAACCACAAGGACAGAGAAGCGCGCGTGCAATTCCCCCTGGTCAGCCAGACACACGGTGGTATGGAAAGCCTGTTCCAGAGACAGATGTACAAGGCGCGGGAAGGATTCCAGATACAGCAGCTTCAAGAGGGGGCCCCGACGTCCCCTGCCAGAATGCAGGGCGGGGGGTGAGTCGTACCCCCACGCTGTCAGGGAGGCCCTCATTTCTAAAGACACAAGAACCTGGCCCTCGGACACGCCTGGTTTGGGTTGCTGAAGTGTGAAGGGAACTAGAACCATCTTGAAGGAAAATTGGCCGGTGCCGGAAAAGCACAGCTACTAGGAAGAAGTGTGATAGAGCACTGCTCTCCGTTTCCAACATTCCACATGTGCAAGAGTCTCTACGCACCTGTGAACTTTTCCAAATGCGCACTCGGTGATTTGCCTGACATTTCTTACCCTTTCCTTGTTTAATCACTTATTTGCTTACCTTTTCTTCTAAGAAAGCTGGACTCTAAGCAAATCTATACCTTGATATATATACACACACACACACATATCATATATATACCTATATATAGTTAAATCCATGTTTAGATATAATATAAAATTTAAAATACATATATAATGTTAATTGTTTATAGATACACATTTTGCAGAGGTGTAGGTGTGTATATATATGTGTGTGTGTGTGCTTACTTAATACACCCACACGTATATACACACATTTTTGCCAATACATACATTTAAAATCATTATATGAAATAACTATTTTACTTTTTCTATTAGAAGAGCTGCCATGGAGATTTTCGAGTTTGTTTTTGTATTCTATTTCTTTTGATGTTCCAACTGAAAGAAAGCAAGATCTCAATAGCTGGGGCAAAGAGATTTGGAAAAGAGACCATAGATAAGGCTGCCAAAGACTAGATGCTTCATTTCGAGTTCCTTTCCATGAAGAATTTACCTAGTGCTTTTCGCCCTCTGCCAATGTGACCCTCCCTCCTTCCCTCCTGCCTTCCTTCTTTCCTTCCTATGGAGGTCGAATTATTCCAGCACTATCTGTTAAAAAGACTATTCTCCTACCTTTGCTCCTCTGTCAAAGGTCAGCCGATTGTGTTTGTGGGTGTCTGTCGCCGGCTCCCTGTTCTGTTCTGTTGGTCAGCCTGTCTTTTCTCTCGTCAATACCACACTGTCCTGATCGCTGTACTTGACAGCAGCTGGTGCCGGTCCTCTAAGTCTGTTCTTCCACAGCATTCTGTAGGCTGTCCCTGTTTCCTGGGTTTATGGCCCCAGCTGTTTCTGTCCCACGGAAGTTGATATCACCTGTGAGTATCTATCTATATTCTCCTGTCTCTTCAGGTTTTGGGGCAACTGTGCTGTGACCTCAATCCTCTGATATATATTATATATATATATATATATTATATATATACTTATGATATATGTGAAAAGTCATGGATTTTTTAGTTTTGTGTGTTTCTTGCTGCATGGATGGGAGTGACGACTTTCAAGCTATTTATTTACATGTTTAAGTTGAAACCAACAGTTCGAATGTTGCATTTTTAACTGAGCAAGGTCGCTATGGTTGTAGAGCAGATTCTGAATGTGAGAATTAGGTTTTATTAAAATCAACGTCTGGCTGGATTATTCACATGCACATACACGTATTCTGCCATTTTTACCTTGGTTCACATAGTACAGTATACGGTATGCTATTTCTTGGCAATAAAATTTCTGAAATAATTTTTGTAATAATTAAAATTTATGCACAGATGGAAAATACATGAAATCCCCTCACAGTGACTTTTGAGGTCAGAAAAATCTTATTAGGTGCTATGCTATATTAGACTGCTCTGTGGAAGAAATGTTATGTCTGTTATCCTGATTTTAAGCTATGCTAAATAATGGAATTTAACCCCAGCTTTTTTCTTTTTTCTGAAACATGAAGCCACCATAAAACAAGATTCTCCCATTAAAAACATTAAACATAAGTACTCATTTTCATGTATAATTCCAGATACAATTCTCTCTCTTTTTTTCTTTTATTGCCATCTTTAACAGCCTGTAATTATAATAAATTATTGAGCGCCAAAAGGTTACAGATGGCCGAGCACAGTTCCACACACTCGGCAAGCAGGTGCAACTCCAGGCTGAAATGAAAGGGCAGGGTGCAGGTTACTAAGAAGTGGCACCAAAAATTGAAGCTGTTTCAAAAAATTATTCTGTCCTCTTGAAATTTTCTAATTGGTGAACAAATATGCACGCAAACACACACACACAGACACTTCTATCTGTCTACATACACACAACTGTCATTAAAAAGCATAAGGATGAAGGATTCTGAGTTTTGAATTAACAAATCACTTCTGAATGGAAGGATACATGCTGTGATAGTTCTCTGTGGCTGCATAGCAAATTACCAAACAGCAAACGACTCAGAACAACATACTTTTATGATTATATCTCCATGTTTCTGCTGTCTAGGAGTCCGGGTCTGGGCTAACTGGGTCCTCAGCCCAGGGTCTTAGACCAGGTTGCAATCACAGTGTTGCTCAGGAGGCACTCTTGTCTGAAGAATCAAGGTCTTCTTCAAATCCCATGTGGTTGTTGGCAGAGCTTAGTTTCCTGTGGTTGTAGAAATAAGGGTCTCAGCTCCCAGAGGGCACCTGCAGTCCCCTGTCTTGTGGCTCTCTCTATCGGCGGTTCACAACATCACAAAACATAGTGCGTGCTTCCCCAAGACCATGACGAGAGTTAGTCATTGATTATATTAATTTACATATGTAAATGTAAATTTACATATGTAATTAAATATATTTTATAAGATGGATCTATATAAATATAGATCTTTTATATATGTATACACATACACATGCACATATATGTGTGTACATGTGTATATATATATATAATAAAAGTGATAGCCCATCGTCTTTACCATCTTCTATTAGTTAGAGCAATTAGCAATGCCCAGGTGCCCCTCAGACTCAAGGTGGGGGGATTATTTAAAGGCATGAACTTAAGGAGGCAGGAATCATTGGTGGTCACCAACACAGGGTGCGTCCATCACACACACAAAATGCCATTTTATCCCTTCCTCCTCTAGGGTACCGGCCTATACCCGTGGTCCAAGAATTAACTGCTGGATCTCAGATCCGAAGGTGAAGTCATTCGACGACAAAGCAGGCACTGTCCGGGGCACCGAGGATCCAGGGTGGGTTCTCTGGCTCATTCTTTGTCCTCGTGGTGCTGATAGTCTAGCAGGAAACTCAGGTAATAGATACATAAACACGTTTTAAATATAAGCAAAACTAAGATTAAATTGGA